CTCCTGATTTTTTTTTTTTTTTGTGACCAAAGATAGTGTTACCTGAATTGCTGAGTGATTTGTATGGAACATAGATGTTTTGTATGTGTGTGCGTGTCATTTTGGTTGCTGTGGTACTGTAGAAGCAGAACTAAACATAATAAAAAAAATGAATATGGCTCAGTTTGGATGCTGAGCTCATTGTCTGGCCACTAAAGGTGTGAAGACATTTGTAAATAATGGCCTTTGATTGAAAATGTTTAAAAACACTGTCATATACTCCTTTGTCTCCTGTAACTGCTGTACAACTGCATCAATGGACTGCTGTAATTAAAAACATGTCAGATTACTTGCTCAAAATCTCACAACAGAATATCATCAAAATATCTTTGGGGCATGTGAGTTTGTAACCACAGTTAATCAAGTGCAAGCAATCAGCTATCTGATATAACTGGCTATGTATTTATACTGGCTATGACTGAGATTTAAAAGCAACAAATAAATATCATGCAGTAGTCTTTCTTAATCCCAGAATGCTTCTGAATGGTTTTTACACAGATTACGTGAGAATTTATCAGTTTTAAGAGAACGAATGCTGTCATTATCTACACATCCAGTTATTTTGTGTCATTGACCTATTTGTTTTCACTATCTAACCTATGTGTGTGTTCTCAGATCTCCTCTGTGACAATGCAATTATGTTTGTTTATTGAAAACATTTCCTTTTTCTTTTTGAATGAGTTAATCCCATTTTCTGTTTTGTGCAGTCCCATTGTTTTTTGTTTTTTTTTGTTTTTAAGTATGACTGAATTCAATGATAATTTGAGTCCCCCTCCAAAACTGTGCTTGTGGGCTTGACTTGTATCTTCCCTATTTGTGATGCTCCTGTAGGCGCTTACAGTAGAACTCAGAACAGGGAGGGAAAGTGATTAAAATGTTGCCTGTTTTGTTTATTTTTTTTTCCTCTGCTGTTGCAATGATGTAAAATAATAACAATAATAATAATAAAAAAATGAAACAAATCTCACTGTTACCTTATCTTCTATTAGGAAAAATATGCTGAATTTAAGAAATTTAAGAAGTTTACGTGAATACAGACATTTCATAGGAGACAGGCAAATATTGCCTTAATTGAGCTTCGATTCAATTTCTTTTAACAATTTAACTTCCATTTTGTAATGTTTTGCGAACGTACACTACTATTTAAATGTTTGGTTATACTGTACTTTACTGAATTTATGTTTCTCATAAGTTTGAATCAAAGACATGCTAAAATGAATTAAAGCCTGCATTTTGTAGACAAATATAAATTATGGATATAATTGTCTTTACAGTCAAACATGAAAATAATGTGGTTTTGTATATATGAATTGGAGCGAATCCTAAAGGAAAAGCAGTCGTGTTCTCCTTAAATACTGTTGAAAAGCATCAACTTTGTTTAGATAATGTCATGACCAAGAATGTCCATATTCATAAGGTACGTACGATTAGTTTACTTTGTAATGAACAATAGCATTCACACTTTCAAGAGTTTAATTGAGGATTCAGAAATGGTTTGGATTATTTAATCCCATCCAGGCTACGGTTCTTCACTTTGTACTGCAAAGTGAGATTCAAGTAAAACAACAAAAAAAAGAAAAGAAAAGGAGATTTAGTTAAGCTTATTTTTCCATGACAATGACAGCTTATGCAGCGTGCATTAATGCATTAAAAAAATAGACATAAAAAAATATTCTGGGTTATACAATTTCAAGGGATAGTTCCCCCAAAAATAAAAATTTGATGTTTATCTGCTTACCCCCAGGACATCCAAGATGTAGGTGACTTTGTTTCTTCAGTAGAACACATATGATGATTTTTAACTCCAACCGTTGCAGTCTATCAGTCGTATAATGCATGGCAATAGTAAACAAAATCAATGAGCAAAAAAAACATGCACAGACAAATCCAAATTAAACCCTGCGGCTCGTGACGACACATTGATGTCCTAAAACACGAAACGATCGGTTTGTGCCAGAAACCAAACAGTGGTGTATTAGAGGTAAAAAATGATATAAATACTGTTTGGTTTGAAAATGTTCCCAAACAGTGGTGTATTAGAGGTAAAAAATGATATAAATTCTGTTTGGTTTGAAAATGTTCCCGAAGACGCTGAAAATGAATATGGCTCAGTTTGGATGCTGAGCTCATTGTCTGGCCACTAAAGGTGTGAAGACATTTGTAAATAATGGCCTTTGATTGAAAATGTTTAAAAACACTGTCATATACTCCTTTGTCTCCTGTAACTGCTGTACAACTGCATCAATGGACTGCTGTAATTAAAAACATGTCAGATTACTTGCTCAAAATCTCACAACAGAATATCATCAAAATATCTTTGGGGCATGTGAGTTTGTAACCACAGTTAATCAAGTGCAAGCAATCAGCTATCTGATATAACTGGCTATGTATTTATACTGGCTATGACTGAGATTTAAAAGCAACAAATAAATATCATGCAGTAGTCTTTCTTAATCCCAGAATGCTTCTGAATGGTTTTTTCACAGATTACGTGAGAATTTATCAGTTTTGAGAACGAATGCTGTCATTATCTACACATCCAGTTATTTTGTGTCATTGACCTATTTGTTTTCACTATCTAACCTATGTGTGTGTTCTCAGATCTCCTCTGTGACAATGCAATTATGTTTGTTTATTGAAAACATTTCCTTTTTCTTTTTGAATGAGTTAATCCCATTTTCTGTTTTGTGCAGTCCCATTGTTTTTTGTTTTTTTTTGTTTTTAAGTATGACTGAATTCAATGATAATTTGAGTCCCCCTCCAAAACTGTGCTTGTGGGCTTGACTTGTATCTTCCCTATTTGTGATGCTCCTGTAGGCGCTTACAGTAGAACTCAGAACAGGGAGGGAAAGTGATTAAAATGTTGCCTGTTTTGTTTATTTTTTTTTCCTCTGCTGTTGCAATGATGTAAAATAATAACAATAATAATAATAAAAAAATGAAACAAATCTCACTGTTACCTTATCTTCTATTAGGAAAAATATGCTGAATTTAAGAAATTTAAGAAGTTTACGTGAATACAGACATTTCATAGGAGACAGGCAAATATTGCCTTAATTGAGCTTCGATTCAATTTCTTTTAACAATTTAACTTCCATTTTGTAATGTTTTGCGAACGTACACTACTATTTAAATGTTTGGTTATACTGTACTTTACTGAATTTATGTTTCTCATAAGTTTGAATCAAAGACATGCTAAAATGAATTAAAGCCTGCATTTTGTAGACAAATATAAATTATGGATATAATTGTCTTTACAGTCAAATAATGTAATAATGTGGTTTTGTATATATGAATTGGAGCGAATCCTAAAGGAAAAGCAGTCGTGTTCTCCTTAAATAAAGCATCAACGCATCAACTTTGTTTAGATAATGTCATGACCAAGAATGTCCATATTCATAAGGTACGTACGATTAGTTTACTTTGTAATGAACAATAGCATTCACACTTTCAAGAGTTTAATTGAGGATTCAGAAATGGTTTGGATTATTTAATCCCATCCAGGCTACGGTTCTTCACTTTGTACTGCAAAGTGAGATTCAAGTAAAACAACAAAAAAAAGAAAAGAAAAGGAGATTTAGTTAAGCTTATTTTTCCATGACAATGACAGCTTATGCAGCGTGCATTAATGCATTAAAAAAATAGACATAAAAAAATATTCTGGGTTATACAATTTCAAGGGATAGTTCCCCCAAAAATAAAAATTTGATGTTTATCTGCTTACCCCCAGGACATCCAAGATGTAGGTGACTTTGTTTCTTCAGTAGAACACATATGATGATTTTTAACTCCAACCGTTGCAGTCTATCAGTCGTATAATGCATGGCAATAGTAAACAAAATCAATGAGCAAAAAAAACATGCACAGACAAATCCAAATTAAACCCTGCGGCTCGTGACGACACATTGATGTCCTAAAACACGAAACGATCGGTTTGTGCCAGAAACCAAACAGTGGTGTATTAGAGGTAAAAAATGATATAAATACTGTTTGGTTTGAAAATGTTCCCGAAGACGCTGGGTTTCACTCCACTTGCTACAGGTGTTTCATTGACAAAAAGCACTTGGATGCGGCTGAGAAACGTGTCACACAGCGTCCTGAAGTTCAAGATGCTCACAAAGACCAGTCCGTGTCATCGAGTAGTAGTACCTCAATAACTGAATGTCCGACAAAAAAAACTTAGGTCCAGGACGGGCCTGCCAGTAGCTTGTGCAGGTCCTGTGCTTCCTGCCTTGTGCATCATTTGTAAGAAAACGGACAAGTACATTACTGTGGCAGGCAAACGCCAGAAGGACCATCTTTCACAGGTAGAAACATTGTCAGCAGGTGGGTAAACAAACACACGTTTGAACTTTGAAGTTTTATGCCATATGCTGGACACCATGGCTGAATTTAAATTACAATTACGTAATTTATTTAATGTTTACAGATTTGCATTTTGCATACAGCTACAGCCAGAACACTCAATATTGCTTAACTGTTAACAGTTTTTACATAATGGTTTTTATTTACAAATTTGTTTCATTATATTTATATATTTATTTACAGGCCAGTTGCTGAAAGCTGCTGAGATGAAAGAAGACACTAGCATTCTTGTGCATATTCAAGACAAAGACTGTGTGTCTCTGGAGGTGCGATACCACAAGTCCTGTTACAGACAGTACACCAGGTTCTTGACAAAGTCTACTGCAACAGTTACTGGGACCTCAGAAGAACAGTGAGTTATTATATTGCATTATCAAATGATAATTAAAAATTGTGGTACATTTAAAAAGTAAAGCATTGACCATCTGCATAGTCTGTATATTTGTCTGTAAACAGAGTTTTGACTGCACAACTCTTGGCACAGCAATTCAATATGATCAAATGTGTAGAACAAACTAGTAATGTTTTATTACCAATTATTATATGTTATGTTTAAAATAAAAGCCATTGTGAAATAGTTATGGCACATAAAGTAATATATCTTTTCTGTTTTTTTTCTGTTTTCTTTTCAGAAATGAGCCAACCTTCGATGCCGACAGGGTTAGTTCACGTAAAAATTCTAATGAACTCGTCATTTACTCACCCTGTTTTTTTTTTGTTTTTTTTTAAAGGGGTCATGCAAAATCAAAATTGCCTTTTGACATATAAGAGGTCATTGTACTATAAAAACATCCTTTAAGATTCAGAACTCATTAGTCTAAAAATAGCTTATATTTGACACCAAATACGACCAGTTGTGGAATGTGGCAGTTTATGATGGAATAGTGTGGCTAAACACCACCTCCGCAGAAGATCAACGTCTGCTTCTACATCACTGCCAGTTTAGCCCCGCCCACCGATTCATTCATGTAGTATAAATAATGAGAGGCAAATGCAGGTCTATGCAGAAATCAAACAATAAAGATGACTCTGAAGACAACAAGACTCTGTGCAGTGCTAAGTTGTGGGGAAAAAACTGTCTTTGCAACGCCTTCCTTCTGATCCCAACATGAACTCTGATCCGAATGAACTTTATTTTTAATTAAGTTTCAGACCGTGTCAGTAAGAACTTGGTCCTTTGTTCACTTCACTTGACTGCAGATTCGTTTACAAACAAGGCACAATTCAACACAGGATTTTCAGAAAGATTGAAACTAAAAATGCTGTGGTGACTATATTGGATCCGACAGAAATGTTGCAACACACAAGTGTGAGTAACTGTTTTTATTACATGGTCACCATTGCTTTGTCTGTTATTACAGATCGTTTAATATATTTACTGAGTATTTATGCTTTTTTAACCTAAATCTCTGCAGTGTCTATCTATGAAGGATGTAGGCTGTCAAACATGCACAAGCACAACTGTTAACCAATCATACCAGTGGCCGTTTACTTTTTTTTTCTCAGGCCCCATACAATACAATAGGGTTTGGTGAAAAACAAACCTTACATTTTGTGTGTAAAGTTTTGAAAAAAAGAGGCAAAGTTTTGAAAATGTAAGCAGTTGAAAAAAAAAATCTGTAATTTACTTTATTTAACGAAAATTTACTCACTCAGAAAAGCACATTAAAGGGGTCATATGATATAATTTAAATTTTTCCTTTCTCGTTGGAGTCTTACAAGCTCTTGGTGCATAAAGAAGATCTGTAAAGTTGCAAAGACTAAAGTCTCAAATCCAACTGTTCTGACTCAAAGACTGTAAGTACATTTTTTATATTTAAAGAGTTTTTATATTTTTTATATTTAAAGCAAGTTTTTTGGGCAGTGTAGAGTAGGGCTTGTTGTTTGTCATTTCTCCGATCACAAATGCAGACATGGTTTTATGTTTACTCAGTATAAGACAGTACAAGTCATTATACTCCATAATTATGTCCCCACTGGATGTCCCCACTGGATGCAACAAATGCCTTGTTTATAATGGGTTTTCATGTTTTTGAATCATCGCTCCGGCCTGACAGGGCATCATCACAATATGGTAAGGGGCGTAACATTTCCGTCACACGCTTGAGGTATTCGGCCAATCACAACGCACTGTATAGCTGGCCAATCACAGCACACCTCGCTTTTTTAGAACGATGAGCTTTGTAAAAATCGACACGTTTCAGAAAGGCGGGGCATAGAGGAGAAACAATAATGTACAGTATATGGAAAATAATGTGTTTTTTGAACCTTAAACCCCATAAACACATTTCATTACACCAAATACACAAAATAATGTTCTTTTTAGCAGCATCATATGACCCCTTTAAGAAAAGTTGTGAGAAAATAAAGATTTATATAAATGTGACAACATATAATCCATGTACTTTCTTCTCCGAGGTGATATTAACACAAGTGTTTGCCGAAAGTTTGCAAGTCAACTGTCAACGGTCATTCTGACCTATCTGACAACCGGAGTTCCAGTCCAGAGATATTCAACTCAGTAGAGACAACACAGCAAATAATACTTTTTGTTTGTTTTTATTCGTCTTGATGTACAGTCAAGTACAGAAGACTGATACTTGTGATACTTTTGAGACATTTTTATAAAACTTGATGCTGGTCACTATCCACTGCCTTTATATGGACGAGCACGAGCAGATTCTCCTTTTGTGGTCCGAAAAACAAAGAAGGGCACTAGAACAACACCAAGTTGAGTAAATAATGACAGCATTTTCATTTTTGGATGAACAATCCCTTTAAAATCTTCTTCACACTAAGAAAAAAAACAAAACAAAAAACAGAGAACTATTGCAAGATGGTTTGCAATAGCATCACTGTGAAATCCTCCTTTTGGAATCATTATTTTTACAGTGTAGCACCCTTCTGCTGTAACACAGAAGCTAGTCCAGAACCAGACCAACATTCATCAGCATTAACTAGCCTGGACAAACAGGTCTCTCTAACAGAGGTGTTTGGGACCATGCACGCACACAAACACAGACCTCACTTGGTGGGCACAGTTGGTGAGCCAGACCGGTGGAAGTGGATGTTCTGCCATTTGCCATCACGACGGTGCCAGACACGCGTTTCTTCAGACTGCATGGTGCGAGGCATATTGCTGACATCCATGTATTGGGTGAGCCTTATATAAGCGATGCATGCAGCATCCTCACCGATCAGGTGTACATGAGGGTTCAGCAAGATGGTGTGGATGGGTTTGTGGCCTTTGGAGAGAGCTAGAGCAGAGGACAATAATACTTATGCTTGTGTCATTCAAGGCACTTTCACCCGCTATTCACTGTTAACCTTCTCCAGTGTAACTCTCACATCAAACTTGTCATATGAAGATACAATGTCTGACAAGGTCTGACATCAATAAAATCAACACTGTTTGTTCTCACATGTTTTGGCTGATGCACAATCTGAACATTGCATTTTCACTCAAAAATAAATAAATAAATAAAATAATAAATTATGAAGTTGTAAATCAAACAGATATTATTACAGTATGTTTTACAAAAAGTCTTTCTATTTCAAAATTTCACATTTACTATAATTCAAACACTACAATACTGTGATTACTGTAATTCACTTTATTTTTATTTGTGAAATGTACTAGCAAAAATAGTTTCAAAGTAAATCCTACAACAATATTTTTCACTGTTCTTGTGAACTTCAATTTGCACTAATCCTAGCATTAAGCTATAGCATGGCTTCAGAATATATGCTTTTTTTCATTGTTGGAGCTCAACAGCTCACTCACTTTCTTAGAATGAAACATCAATTATTCCTTTAACATGTAACATCATGTCATGTCTTACAGTTTTCAAAGTAGAACCTGTGGAAATCTGTCCCCTCCACTAGGTTTCCCAACGCTTCAGGTTCAAAAGATGTCAGTCCAGGGTCACAAATCTTCCTGTGGAATACAACATAATATAAAAACTAAAAGACATAATAAGGCATTCTTTAACAGAGTGAAGGCAAAATAATAATAAAAAGATACTGCATGAAATAATGAAATAAACACTCACGTGTATGCTTCAAAATCTCCATTATTAATGGCTTCGATCAGCAGCTCTGTGACTTTAATTATCTCCTGTTTCCGTGCTGAACCACATAAAGAAAAGAAAAAAACAGTGAAGAACTGCGCAAAAGACTGTAATCATTATCCTTTAGCTGATGAACAGACCAGAATGGAATACATTCATTTTAAACCATAAAAGAGATTGATGTTTGATTCTCCAGTGATTGGCTCTTATGAGTCTGTTCTTTAAAATGAATCAAACAGATTCACAAATATGTCTGAAAGGGACTGGCCAGCTACCAATGTATATCAAATGTTCAATGTATGTTCAACTGTATCAATGTAAGAGAACTGTACTCTTTTATGTATACCTTTAGAAAGCAGTTTATTGATTCAACCTTTTTCCAAGCCAAGGATATCTTGATGAACAGAAAAATGGACCCCAGGGACCTCATATTGTATACAACTGGGTGTAGCATTTTTAGCTTAGCCAGTAAGAATGTGTATAATACCATGTTAATTTATTAGCTTTTTATTGATTCTTGTATTGTAAAGTCGATAAAATAATCATTGTTAATAATTACAATTTACACACAACACATCTGCTTGTTTAAGTCAAGTCACCATTATTTATAAAACACTTTTTACAATGCAGATTGTGTCAAAGCAGCTTTACAGTATTAAACAAGGAAATAGTGTGTCAAAACAGTGTCTCCTCTGGCCAGACAAAACCAGCAGTTTAATTCTAGGCTGCAACTACAGCCTAACTAACATAGAATACGAACTAGCAATGCCTGAATTTACTAGCAATGCCTTCATTCTTTTGAGCCAGTTCTTCTCAATAAATGCATCATACAGTAAGCAAAAATATCCAAATTGGTCTGAATCACTCAGTAATAAATAATTTGCGGTAAAATAATACCACAATATATTATAAGGGAGAGAATATAAAGCACACATGGATAAAGTGGAGTATTTACTTAAAATCCACTGATAACAACATGCTGAATTTGTGCTATAATTTACAGTTACACAAAAGCACTTACCATTAAAATCATTGGGCATTACCAAGTTTTTGGACATGTACCTATGGCAGCATGTTTTGTTCATGTACCATATAGTATTTAAGCACCTTATATAATATGAGCACAAAATATTATATAAGATGACAAATATGATAGTATACGACAAATATTTATCACATGAACATGGTTATCAAAGTTAATGGTGCAATATGTTTTTGAAAATAAAATATTTGGTATGCTTTTTTGAAAGACACAAGGTTTTCTAGAAAAATCCCCCACCACCTGTCAGACCAGAGTTTAATATATCACTAGATACATCACTGTCACCCATTTTTCTTATTACAAAAAAAGGGGGGTGTGAATGCAGAGACTTTTGTTATTTTTTGTTGGCAAAAACAAAACAGCATATTTGAATGTAGTTTAAATGTATTTAATACAATTAAAGAAGTGTATTAGTGCCTATGGAGGGATCTGAAAGAAATATCGGTAACGCTTTACAATAAGGTTCATTAGTTAAACATTAATGTATAAACTAACATGAACTAACCATCAGCAATACATTTGTTACTGTATTTACTAATC